AAGCCTCGGCCCTCGCCGTCAGCTTTGCGCTGGCCTCTGGGGAGCCGGGAGCCCAGGACCAACAGGAAGAGGCTCCGAGGGCAGGCCAGGCAGTCCTGGGGACCACGGGGCCTGGGGACGACAGCCAAGGCTGGTGCCATGCCAGCTGGAATAGAGGGCTCCCCCCAAACCCTCTCCACGCCCTGCATTTTTGGGATCCCTGTCTCATCAGGAGGACCCCCTTTCTAGAGATCCTCCCAGAAACCCGACCAGGGGAACACGGTTATAGGCCCGACTCTAAGGAAAACCAGTGGGGGGGGGGGGCATGTTTCAGAGAGGGTGAGTGACTGTTCCAAAGCCACACAGCCCATCAGGAAGGCCCTGGGACCCAGCCTGCCTGCTCCAKGTCCCCTGACACATTTGGGATGCCATCGTCCCAGATGTGGGGACTGAGGACACTCCTCTGCAAGGCAGGTGAGTCAGGCAGGGGGTGCTTTGGGGTTTTCCTGGCYGTGCTGTCACGAGCGAGAGACAGGGAAGGCCCAACCTGGGCACAGACACCACGCACAGTGCACAGCGCRCTCCCAGGACCTTCCCTCACTGAGTCCCTCTGGGGCAGGGAGGGGACGTGGCCAAGGCTGGCCTGACACTGACCTTCCTCCCACCCCCATGGGGACTCCAAGGAGGTCCCTGCAGGACCGAGGGGGATGGGGGTCCTCACTGCCTCCCCCACTGCCGCCTCCCTCCCCACGAAGCCCCGCTGGACGGCTGCCCASTGCCGGGAGCAGACCCCTGGGGGTCACCAGGGAAGAGGGGCCCCAGGGCCAGGCATKCGGGGAGACCCAGGAGGGAGAAGGAGTGATGGGCAGAAGCCAGGCCCACTGCCCTTCCAGGGCCCCTTCCCAGACTTCCCCGTGGTCAGCCCACCAGGCCCCTGGGTCCCCATGGGCAGGCGGACCCCTGGGCAGGAGGGTCAGGCCCTGGGTGACCCAGGTGAAGCCCTGTCCTCCCCGCCTCCTGCTGCCTTCTGAGAGCCGGGAGGCCCCGGTGGGTCCCTCTGGGCTCCGACAGCTTTGATCTGAAATGCTGAAGAGCCCGGGGCTGGGCTGCAGGGGCTCCATGGCCTCCCACGTGGGCAAATGGACCTGGTGGTCAGCCCGAGCCCCTGAGGTCTGCGATGGGGCCCCGTCGGGGTCGCCAGCTCCGTCTGCAGGAGGGAAACCGAGGCAGGCAGAGCCGCCTCGGCACCTGGGTGGAGCCCTGCTCTGCTCGGGCCAGCCGTGACCTTGTGAGGAGGCCTCAGGTGCTCTGAGCCCTGATCCTGAGAAGTGGTGCTGATAAGGAGGCCCTGCCCCGGGCCGCAGGGGAGAGAGGGTGCTCAGCTCGGTGAAGCCCTGGKCGGCGCCCACCCAGCCCTGGGACAGCCTTATCTGAAGAGGAGCTGTGGGTCTCAGTGGTGGCAGGCCCCTGGACCAGGAACCTGGCACTTGACAGGCCTAATTCTTCTAATCCTCTCAGCACCACTGAAAGGTAGATAAGAGGTGGACAGGCCCTGGTCACGGGGTGGGTGAGGCCAGGCGGGCACCTGGCTCCCCAGGCTCGGACAGGGCAGCCAGGCCCCAAGACGACCTGGCCGTGAGGCGCTCAGGGGACACACGCTGCCCCTGAGGGCTGAGCAGGCCCCCTCCTTCAGTTGTCCCAGGGCCTGCAGGCGASGACGCTGCTGTCCTGGCTCTGCAGATGGGCACGCTTGGCAGGTTCCTTCCCGACTGTCCCAGGGCTGAGTCATTAGAGCCAACAGCCCCCAACATCTGTACCTCTGGGGGACAGCGGTGACAATAAACCAGAAACAGTGTGCGGGTCCCCTCACGGCGGTCCCTGGAGCCGTTAACTCTTAGCAGGGGGAGCAGGGACTGGGAGGAGTGGAGAGTCAGGGTTTCAAGGGACCCAGCTCCACTTAGGGAACATGAGAAGGTTCTTGAGACAATGGTGGGTCAGGTGGCCAGGACCGGGTGGGGGAGGGGCCGAGGAAGCCTTCTGAGCCTTCTCCATTTTGCTGCCAGTGAGGAACTTGGAGGGGTGGCGCACGCCGGTCATCCCAGTGACTCAGGAGGCCGAGGCAGGAGGACTGCAAGTTCAAGGCCAGCCTCAGCAACTTAGCAAGACCCTTTCTCAAAATAAAAAATAAAACAGTCCGCGATGTGACTCAGTGGAGGAGCACCTCTGAGTTCATCCCCAACACCCAAAGGAAAATGTCTTTTAAAAACTAGTTAAGGGAGCTGGGCGCGGTGGCCCTGCCTGTCATCCCAGCGACTCGGGAGGCTGAGGCAGGAGGATCATGAGTTCAAAGCCAGTCTCAGCCAAAGTGAGGCACTAAGCGGGGTGCGTTGGGGTCTTGGAGCTGTGCCCCAGGCTGCACCTCCCTGTTCCTTGGAGACTCTGCTGTCAGGGGAAGCTGCAGAGGGAAGAGGGAGCCATTTGCAAAGTTCACGCCACCCAGTGCCCCAGGCTGCCTGGGTCCCTGGGATCCGAACCCAGAGCAGCACTTTTTTAACTATTCTTACTCCGAGGTCTCGGGAGGTCCTCCGGGCCCTGCTGGTTGGTGGCAGAAGCCCCTGGACTCCTTGGGGGGAGCAGCTCTGCAGGGGAGCATAGGTCATAGGTCATAAAAGGTCACCATCGAGGGGGCTTCGGCCTTGGTCGCCGGTTGCTGCTCGGGGCCTGTCCCTCCTCACTCCCCGCCAGCCCTCCACCCACGGGCCTGGAGAGTTTGGTGGCGCCTCCCACGGAATGAAAACCTGGCCTTGTTTCCTTCCCAAAGGCCTCCTCCTCCGGGCAGGGCTCTGTCTTGGAAGGCAGACGCCAACTCTTGGCCCATTTCACAGATGGAGAAACCAAGCACAGTTAGAAGGCAAGTGGCCCGTTGCACAACCCACAGGCTAGGGGCAGATGTCTGCGGAGCCCAGAACCTCTGCCGGGTCCTTCCTTGGGTCCCTGGTGGCCACGCTCCCTGGGGTGCAGCCGGCAGAAGGGCTTCAACCTGAGCTCAGAGAAGGTCCCGTCCCCATCYGGGTCAGCTTTCTCTCCCCGCACTGTGCCCTGCATGGAGGACCTGCTGGAGGAGGAGCACCAAGCCTCACTGAGCCTGCAGCTGTTTACTATTGAGCACCYACTGTGTGCCAGACACTGGAAACACAGCTGGGGACCACACAGACCTGCACTTGCTGCATAGAGGTGACAGTCTAAATGGGGTCAGTCCACAGATACATGAGGAGGATTCCTAGGGGCTTGCAGAAGCTGTGAGCAGAGAGCCTGGACACCGGGTGTCCCCCAAGGGCTGCTACCTAAGAGCAGACCTGAATGGAGAGAAGTCATGGGGGAAACCTAGGGGACAGTCTCCCTGCAGGAAGGCTGGGGGCAGGGAGAGGGCAGGGTGTAGGAGCAAGGCCGGAGGCCAGCGGTGGGGAGATGCGGGCGTGGAGAGGGGCTTGTCCCCAGGGTGCTTGTGACAGTGAGGCAGGCCAAGCCTGCASCAGGGACAGGTGGACCCAGGGGCCACAGTGCCAAGGTGGAAGCAGAGTTCCCGGTCCTCTGACCCCAAGAGTCCCTGGAGAGGGAGCGGCCACAGTGCTGGGGGGTCCTCTGCTGCCTGGAAGTCCCCTGTCCAACCACAGGGGTACCAAGGGGCCCGAGCACATCCCTGCAATGAGCCTGCAGGGGAGCTGCATCCTACCAGGAACCCAGGGAGACATCACAGGCTTCGCCGGCACCTGTGGGGCTCCCAGCTGGGTCCCTCCTCCCCAGGGGAGGTGCCCAGGGGGGTGGGGCAGGCCACATTCCAGGCCATTTGGCAAGTGAGGAGCCAGGAGCCAGACAGAAAGGGAMCGACCCAAGCAAGTGAGGGGCAGGTTCTGACCGGGATGGTCTCCTCTGCACAGATTCGAGGCCCATCTGGGGCTGGGGGCCCAGAGGCTGTGAGTGGCCCCAAGAACCTCCCGAGGGTCTGGAGATGAGGTTCCAGACCTGCCAAGGCCCTCCTGGGTCCCCAGGGCCCTCCCTCCTGGGCCTCAAGCCTCCCAGGTCCCTGGGGAAGTAGGAACAAGCCACCTCAGGGGTTAGAGGGCAGGTCCAAGGGCAGGAGGAGGAGGAAGAAAGGCCTGGGGAGTGGTCTCTGCTCCCAGCTGTGGCGGYGGTACAGGGAGGGGTGGGCTCCACACCCTCCGCTGCTGGGGCTGGGGCCTGCTCGGAGGTGGCAGCCCAGCCCCACAGGTACCACAGAAAACAGGGATTTTCACACCTAGGTGAGCAGGCATCTAGTGTCCCCTGGCTGGCCCGCCCCCATCAGACCGCGATGGGCACGGTAGGGGTCAGGGGTGGGGGCAGGGAGCCTTCCCGAGGCCTGACCTGAGACCTCGGGTCTTAGCTGGGGATCCTGCGAGGAATCCTAAGCCCTGCATGACCGCGTGGGGTCGCAGGGCCCTGGCTCCCTTGAGTGCACCCCACCACCTGCCCCTTGGTTCCCTTCGKAGCCCCCATTTCACCAGCCTCTGCTCAGACCGGCCTCCACCTGATAGACGGACCCACCTCTGAACSGTCAGGCCTTGGGGACCTGGCCTGGCCTGTGGCCCTCGGGTTGACCCTGGTCCAGCCAGCCACAGGGTATTTGTGCCCATGCTCACCCTCGATCCCAGGCCAGTCCTTAACACCTAGCAAAGGAACCAGGCTCTCGGGAGTCCCCGAAAGAAGTCGTGCGAGGAGAGACGCCGGCTCCTGCGCCCACTCCGATAGAGGGAGAGACCACGACAGGGGCAGCAGGGGCAAACAGAGCTTGGAAAAGCTGAAGAGGAACCGACGCGAGGGGCGGGACGAACAGGTTCGTGGGCTGGGCGGAGCCAAGGGTGGGCGCCCGGGTCCCCCAGGTGACAGTAGCTGAGCTCATCCCTGGCCTCCTCCCCTCCCCTGCCCCTGATTGGCAGGCGGCCTGCGACCGGGCGCCCAGGCGAACGCGATCAGCCCCCCGCGGGCGCGGGCGAGTAGGAGGGGGCGCCGGGCTATATATATAGCGGCTCGGCCTCTGGCCGGCCCAGCGCGCAGGGAGGCGCGCATCGCCTGGTGGAGTCCCAGCCGCGGCCGCGCGCCCCTCCGCCGCTGCCCGCCGCTCCATGCAGCCCCGGTAGCTTAGCGTCCACGCCGGGGTAYCCCGTCGCTCACCGCCCGCTCCTCGCTCTGCCGCGCACCCCCAGCCTGGGCCCAGACCGTGCGCTCCCGCGGGCCCCCTCTGGCGCAGCTTGGGCGCCGGCTTCCCGGGCGCACGGACCGCTTGACGGACGCACCGCCCTCGGGCCGGGATGGCGGGGCCCGGGACGGCCGCGGCGGCTCTGCTCCCGGCAGTCCTGCTGGCCCTGCTGGCGCCCTGGGCGGGCCGAGGGGGCGCCGCCGCACCCACAGCACCCAACGGCACGCTGGAGGCCGAGCCGGAGCACCGCTGGGAGAGCCTGCTGGCGCGCTCGCTGGCGCGCTTGCCCGTGGCCTCACAGCCCAAGGAGGCTGCCGTCCAGAGCGGCGCCGGGGATTACCTGTTGGGCATCAAGCGGCTGCGGAGGCTCTACTGCAACGTGGGCATCGGCTTCCACCTGCAAGTGCTCCCCGACGGTCGCATCGGCGGCGTGCACGCGGACACGAGCGACAGTGAGTAGGGCGGGCCGGATGGGATGGGTCGGGGATGGGGAGCAGCAGCTGCCTCTTCCAACTCACCCAAAGACACACGGAGGCCCAGGGCGGGCACCTGCTCGCGGGCCCTGGGAACTGGGCTGTCTCGGGTTCCTGTCCCGTATGACGCAGGGACTCGGGGAGGCAAGCACTTCTGGCTCCGCAGCCGGCCAAGGGACCGGCTTTGCGCAGAGCGGCCGCCGAGCCCCGCCTCCCCGCCTTCGGAAGCCTGGGCTGCGGTGACCGCCGAATTCCAGCACTTTAGCCTGCTGTGGGCACCCACGGGGCTGAGAAACGCGCTCGGGCTGAGGCGGGTCTTGGAAGCCTGTGCAGCCTCGGGGGCAGCCTTGGCCTTGCAGTCCTGAACTGGGTGAGGGCCCGTGGCCTCCACACCCGCCCTAGAGTGAGCCAAGGTCACCTGCCTTGGTATAACCCGCACTCACTCCCAGGTCTGCTGGAGCTCTCCCCCGTGGAGCGGGGCGTGGTGAGCATCTTCGGAGTGGCCAGCAGGTTCTTTGTGGCCATGAGCAGCAAGGGCAAGCTCTACGGCTCGGTGAGTACCTTGGAGTTGGGCAGGCACCCGTGTGCAGGGCCAGCAGGATTGTGACCCTCTTCTAGGTCCATCTGTGCCTGGGCCACCAAGGGGCAGTCGGTGGGGTCACCAGGTCCCAAGGCTGGCAGGCAGCACCAGCCCCGGGGACCTCAGAAGTGCCCAGAGGCAGGCTGGTGGCCAGGGGCCAGCCCAGACAAAGGGAGCCACCCAGTTACTGCCCTTGCTGAGCAGGCATCCCCTGACCCTGTGAAAGGGACCATTGGGAGCCCCAGGCTGTGCCCAGTGGGTGGGTCCCAGCGAGGAAGTGGAGATGACCTCTCCCGGGCTGCGAGGTGCCTGGCAAGCGGCCAGCACTCCAGCTGCTGTGGGCTGGCGGTGCCTGCCAGGGTCTTGACACCCTGACTGCCCAGGAGAGACCTCTCAGCCCCGAGCGGGTGGCTGGGCAGACCCCTGGCCGCCGGCCAGGGTCCCGCTCACGGTGCTCCTCCCTCCCAGCCCTTCTTTGCGGATGAGTGCAAGTTCAAGGAGATTCTGCTCCCCAACAACTACAACGCCTACGAGTCCCAGGAGCACCCCGGCATGTTCATCGCACTGAGTAAGAACGGCAGGGCCAAGAAGGGGGACCGAGTGTCACCCACCATGAAGGTCACCCACTTCCTCCCCAGGCTGTGACCCTCCAGAGCCGCCTCAGCCTCCACGGACTCTGGACGGAGGGTGGAATCCAGGAGGAGGTGTACGATATTTAAGTTAATTATTTAAGTATGTATATATTGCCATCAAATTATTTATGGTTCTGTGAGTGTGTTTTGTAATTTTTTTTTCTGGGAAAAAAAAAAAAAAAAAAACTAAGACAACCCAAAAGCAAGTCTGACTTTTCTGGCGTGACAGGGGACAGTCTTACCGTTGGATTTGCTTTACTCTCAAGAACTTGACATGAGCGTGCTGCTATTTTGTGTTGTAAAGACAGTGACATCGGATTCTGATGGCGCCCAGCACCCTGTCTGGAAGGGCCTGCTGGGGCCGTGGTCTCCAGCGAAGGGGCGCTGGGCCGGGCTTCCTCTCGCCGCCCACGGCTGTGCCCTGTGGCCGGAGTCGGGACATATCGGTTTACTTCGGGTACTGAAAGCACACTGTCGTCCTCGCTGCCGCTCCGTTTTTAGATGGGCCCAGGCTGACCTTTGAGCTTTGCTGTAGTCCATCTTCCCCCATCCACCAGATGGGAGAGACTGACTTTATAAACTGCTCTTCGCCTGGTCAGGATCAGCCCCCGTCGCGGCAGCCACTGGGGAAAGACAAAGCTGTTCCGCAAAATGCCAGGGAGCGAAGCCGTTCCCTGCTGGGATGTTGCCCCTCAACCCTCGCCTGGTGATGGACGAAGCTCGTGATGGAAGACAATTCTGAAATAGAGGATATTTTTAACAAAATCGAAAACAAAAGAACAGGCTTCCCTGTACACGGGAGGCTTTGGACTAGAACCACGATTTAGGCGAACGTCGCGGACGCAGCCCAGCCTGCCGGGACCTGCTGCTCAGACGCACACCCAGCCTCTAACCTCAGCCGGGCCCAATCGCCGAAGGCTTAGGGGGCGMAGCTCACTGGGCCACCCCAAGTGGCTCTTTTTCCATATGCAACCAAAAGGATGGCAGAGAGCGGCGGTGGGTCCCCTGCGAACCTTGTCACGTTTGAGCTATCTTTACCCCGTGATTTACTTTTAGTAWGGGCGTTCATGGTGGAAATATTTGCAGACAGCTGTTAGAGTGCACTATATGGTCACCAAGTAACCTTATATTTTTCTTTATATATTTTACAAATGTAACCCCTGTCGTTGAAGCCGAGATGGAAGGGCCAGGGTCGGTGGGGTTTAAAAAAAGTTCTGAGGTGATGGCAAACACTTAATTTTAATGAATGACTTTTTAGTTTATGCAAAGTGACCTTAACTGGCTGCCACACATGCTCTGAATGCTTCCTCCCTCAAGACCCTCCTCCGGTGTCTCTGAACCATCTCCCAAATTAACTTTATGGGACTCCACAGACGGCAAGCCTGGGATCTGATTCGAGTTTTTGTCTTTTGAATTCCTTTTGCCAAATCTTTGTTCAAATGCAAATCAAGGACTTCAAATAATACTATTCTTAACCCAGCCCACTGAGTGCCAAGCCCCCAAGTCAGGACCACCCATCTGAACCCTCAAGAGGCTGTTTACAGTGTTCTGACTCAACAATGCCACACAATTCTTACCTGGCCCTAGACTCCGGGAGGGTGGAGGGCAGGTGAGGAGCAAAGATCGCCTCGCCTGGGGGAGAATGTGCAGTCTTCCTGTTCTTACCGCATCTCAGAGTCAAGAACCGGGATGCTTGGATTCTTCAGCAATGTCACCTCTGAGCGCAGTCCAAGGGCCAGGAATGGACGGACCCTCAGTGCAGAGGTAGCTCATCCACCCGAACAGAACTRTTGACGGTGCGTCTGGCGATGTCATGGTGCCTTTGAAATATTGGACGTTTTTGGGTTGCGGTGATTTTGGGGATTCGAGGTTTCTCTATTTACCACCGTTTTCAGAGTCTGTCTGTAGTTTTATACAGGTGCCGATCAATAGCGTGATGTATGTGTGCTATGCACATCGAGATGCTTGATGAGCTTTTCACCGTGGAGAGAAAGAACCCCACCAGACGCGGTGCAGATAATCGGGAGAGATATTAAACATGATGGAAACCCGCCTTGAAATGCCCAGGTCTTGCTCCCGCCGTCTTCCTCGCATGGCTGGGGGAGGGGGAGGGAGGCAACTTTTAGCCAGCTGTGGGGTGTCCACACAGACGCCGCCTGGGAAGCAGGAGACTTGGGGCGAGGCGTCATCATGACTCTGAACCTTGCAGTTGATTCTCCTTCTTGCAACGGGTTAATTCACGCCGCCCCTGCACTGTCACCAGCCCCYTCTGTCCCTCTGCCCTCCACCTGGGGCTGACTTGGCTGAGGGGAGGGAGGGGCAGAGCTGGCCCTCGGACGCACTGGAGCAGTGGGGAGACCACCACAGTGACCTGCAACCGTCTTTCCTAAGAAGGGAAGGAAAACCCACAGAGGGTCGAGCCGGCCGGAACGCGTCCGTCGGTCAGCAGGGCACAGATTGTCCTGGAAAAATCGGTCTTAACTGGGCCTCTAGGAGGTGTCTGTGGGTGTGGCGGGTCACATGAGACCAAGGCCCACMTGATGGGTCTGGAATCTGATTCCCCTCTCCCCACAAAACACGCCCAAAAGACCCCCAAAGGCCCTTAGCTGAGCCGGTCAGCTCCGGGGCCCATCATGCTCAGCTACCTCTGTTTCTTTTTCTGTGACAAGGAAGTGCTAGGTGGCCCCTGCCCTAACCCTAGGTGGCCCCTGCCCTAACCCTAGCCCCTCGGCACCTCGAACCCTAGTACCCATCCCCAGTACCTCAGAACGTGGCTGTGGAAGGGGGTCGCTGCAGAGGGGTCATGGAATGAGGCTACTGGGGCGGGCTGGCCCCCGTAAAGACACAGCCACCGGTGGCCAAGCAGACCCGAGGGCAGGGGTCTGGGTGGGGTTTCTGCAAGGCCAGGCTGCTGAGGGTCACCTGCAGCACCTCCCAGCGTGCCTCCAGGTCCATCCTGGATCTCGGCCTCCGGCCTCCAGGACCGAGGTTCCGTGGYTCCCACTATGTGGAGCACCCCTATGGGCCGTGGTCACCGCAGTTCCAGGAGCCTCACGGGATGGCTCTTCACGGGGGCCAGGGGTCCTCAGTAAGGCTCTGTCCAGGTCTGTCCTGACCCCAGAATGCTCCACCGGCTTCTGTGGTGAAGCCCTCTTCTCATGGGCACAAGTCCCCCTGCCTGGGAGCTTGCCCTTGGCCTCCAGCCCCAGCACAGAGGGAAGATGGGTGTCAGGCCTGGGTCCTTGGGCAGATTGAAAAGGCATTCATTTGCCAGGTGTGGTGGCACGCTCCTGTGACCCAGCCACCCAGGAGGCTGAGGCAGGAGGATGACAGGGRTGAGGCTAGCCTGGGCAACTTTTTAAAAACTAAAAGAAAAGGGCTGGAGGTGCATCTCCGGGTGGGCACCCTGGGTTCCACCCTCAGCCCCACAAACAGCAAAGAGCCCTTTGGTCATGTCATGTGCTTTTTGGGGACCCACTTTGTGTTGGATATACATCTACTTTTTTTTTTTTTTTGGTACTGGGGATTGAACCCAGGGGCACTTAAGCACTGAGCCATCTCCCCAGCCCTTTTTTATATTTTATTTAGAGACAGGGTCTCGCCGAGTGGCTTAGGACCTCACTAAGTTGCTGAGGCTGGCTCTGAATGCACCATCCTCCTGCCTCAGCCTCCTGAGCCGGGGATTACAGGTGTGTGTGCCACCACGCCCGACCTGCCAGGCACACTTCTAAGTGAAGGACACAGAGATCCCTGCGCCCTGGAGCCCTCATTATAAAGGGGGTGGTGACGGTAAATAAGGGACCTAAAGGACCTGGCAAGTGGGCTGCAAAASAGGAAGAAGAGGCGGCTGGGTGGGCCTTCCCTGCAAGGTGASGATCATGGGGGAGGAGGCCACCGGGAGGGAGGGAGGGGCTGAGCTGGGAGCAGGCGGCCACCCTGAGCTCTTGCCTGTGCAGGCTCTGTGGTCTCTGGAGGAGGCAGGGGTTGAGGCCATGGAGGTCAGCTCAGGRGCGCCCAGAGGCCACTGTGGCAGGGGGTGAGGGGAGGCAGGGGCTGGAGGGGACCTGCAGGCACAGCCTCCTCCTGGGCCCTGGGTGACCTCAGGCCGGCCCCGCCCAGCTGCCTCCCACTGGGTGACCTTGGGCAGACCTGTGGCTCCTCGGGTCTCTGCAGCCTCCCAGGCTCTGAGGGGGGAAGGTGAGACAGGTAAGGTGCGGGCACAGCCCAGGTAATGTCCCCATGTCATTGTTATTCCCCTGGGAGGCTTAACGAGGCCATAGAGCCACCTTTTCTCCCTGCCGGGGGCTAATGGGACCTTTCTGTCCCAGTGCTCCTCACTGTCATGCAGAGAGCAGGCCCTTCCTGAGGGTGTGGCAGGGTCTGGGGAAGAACTGGGTCCCCTCCAGCCAGCAGGGTCACCTGCCCTTTCTGAGAAGAGCCCTTTAGGGAGAGCAGGGCTTTTCAGACACTGCCAAACCCTGCTGTGCTGGTTACTCGGTCCCGTTTCAGTGTGGTGGCCCGGGCTCTGGGCTCAGAGTGCAGGGGCTCCCTGTGGTGGCCTCCGTGTCTGGGGCTCAACCACCTGGACATGATTCTGGAAATATCCAGGCCCGGGGTGCGCGGAATCCCAGGGACTCCRGAGGCTGAGGCAGGAGGATTCCAAGTTGGAGGCCAGTCTGGGCAGCTCAGTAAGACCTGGTCTCTCAGGAAAAGATAAAAGGGTGAAGCTCAGTGTAGAGTGTGTGCCCCCCCGAGTCCAAGTACCCCACCCCCCAAAATTGGAGCACACGCCGTTCTGAAGGGGCACCGAGGATTTTCTTGCCCTTAGTCCTCAGGGACAGTGTGACAGCCAATCACCCAGATGGGATCCCCAGCATCTGGAGGAAGTCTGCCACCTCAGTTCATCGATGGACTGATCAATCTCTTTTTTTTTGGCACCTGACACTCGGCCTCTGGCCGCGGGCCGCTGGCCACTGACTGATCAGTTTGACAGCCTGAGTGTCCGCCCGTGGTCTGTGAACTGATCTCAGCCTTGG